GAAAAGGTCTTACCATTTTAGTTGGAAGATGGCACAAAGTATAAGATACTATTTTTCATTCTCTTGAGATTTTGGTTTCCAATTTCAGTATCACTTAGCTGTTCTGTTTTTAACTGACTGTGCCAATTCTTCCCATGGGGAGGGTAAGTGGTGAATCAGCTTTATTATCAACTCTAACGTGGATGGGCTTGTAGAGTTAGGTCGCAGAGTGGGAAAGACAGAGGCAACTGCACCTGAGATACGTCCAGGTGTCTGGGGGAGAGGCCATCTGGAGCGGTGCTATTACAGGAGGTGATGACTGAGCCAAACTGATTCGAGGAGCTCACACAATTGACTTTAAAATATTCCTTGAAAGTATTTAAAACAAATTATAAAAATATTAGAATTAAATTTGTTTCTTAATCAAGGATTCAGTGTCAAAAAGCACTAATCATGACCAACAGGATGCAAAACAAAAAGGCTGCAAGTAAAAACCTGCAATGATTTTATTTTAGAAAAATTGCCTCCATGTGCTATCAAAGGGCACTGTACCAAATACTTATTTGCCCAGAACAGACGTTTAACTCTAACATGTGACAAATTATAATGCAAATTAACAAGGGTACTTTAGTGAACAGTCAATTATCGATATGATTGGCTTTCTTAGAATTTAGAAGTGCTTTCGGGAGATGGTTTAGATGACGCAGGGTCCTGAACACATGAGTTCATGTGTTTTGGCTAATGCTTTTTTTTGGTGTGTGTGCTAAATCTCTTCGCAGCAAACAAAGACAATCAAAATCAGTCAATCCTTTCCTCCTTCACACCTTCTCTTCCTCACTCACAGCAGTCAACAGGGCAGCAATCCCCTCCCGGTAACCAAGAAGAACAATATGATTTGAAAAGAAAATGACGCAATCAATTTTGTCAGTTAATTAGCATATTCTCCTCTTTCTGCTTTCATAAAAATACCCATGCCTAAAAGCAATTTTAAAGAAAAATGGCCTAGGACAGTTCTTCCAAATAGAATTGAGAAAGTAAACTTCACAAAATTTACATACCACAATGCAAAACGTTTGACAAGATCACCATTTCTATATTTATGCAAAATGGGGGTAGTACTATTATTATAGGCCCAAGACATCTATTTACAGAGGCTATCTATGCCTATTTCTGGTTTTGTGTCACTCTCTCAGGCATGCCCAATGATATCAGTCATATTTTTGCCTAAATTTTAAATTGAGAATTCTAATACACTCCTACTTTTTAAAAATAAGCACCTGTAATATAGATGAAAGAGGGAGTGTGTGTCATGAAATTAGGCCAATGACAAACTGTAACAACTTGGAATTCACTCAATTTCCTCTTTGGTTTGCTAGTATAAATCCCATGTTTTAATCATTTCCTGTTTGCTGACTCCGCATAATGGCCATGCTTAAGCAGCTAATTAACTTGCTTTTTAAAAAAAATTAATTCAAACATAAATTGAGAGGTTTGGGTAATCAAGTCATGCATGTCAGGCAATCAGGTGCTTAATGTCCTCAGACATTATATTCTCTCCAAACAACTGCCCGTGGGAAGAACATTTATCAAATAGACCCAAGTGAAAGTCCAAATCTAAGAAGCTACAAATGAGGATGACAATCGCATAGCTATTAGGGTTTTAGTGGGGTCCTATCTAAGTTATTTTTCAATATGGCACGACGTTGGTAAATGCAGATAAATGGATGTCGCCTAGACTTAGAATCTTCACGAGCTGCAATAATTTAGAAACTAAAGCCACAGAATGCAATGCCTATCAATTTAATTACACAGCAGCTAATTGAAATGAAAGTCATGGTGTTTTCTGTGTCTAAGAAAAACCAAATATTGTTGGGAGAATTCCCGGAGTGAGGTATTCAGACTGGACTTCCAATTACTGGATCAAAAGCACCATTCCATTCAACTCCCCTGTGAAACGTTCCAATCAGTCCAACTTTCTAATTGGTTAATGTGGCTGCCTACCAAAATAATTAACATAATCTGCATATTTAGTTACACACTTTGTATTTTCAAGTGATTTGAGCTGCAAGAAACAGTTTGTGTTCCCTGAGGACAGAAAAATAAGTAAATGTTAAGGATTAGGCTCCATTCATTGAAAAAATCCAGGAAAACCATCTATGGGGGCTTAGGAAGAAAAACAAAGAGCAAAAGGGAGAGAGGAAGTGAAGGACAAGTGAAAGGGTAAAACTAAAGTACTAAGTAAACATTTTTATGCAATTTAGGTGTTTCTGTATTTTCTTCACGTTGCAACAGGACGTGCCAGGAAGAATATTCTTAGAGAAGGAGCAGGCGAGTGAGGTTAATTAGCACGTTTTCTTTCCTCCCTTCCTTTGCAAAACACAAAGTGCCACAATTCCTAGAGCATTTTTGATTTACCCACAGTCCCGGGCAAGGCCCTGCGCCACCCCAGCTGGGGAGCGATGCAGCAGCCGGCGTTCTGCTCTTCAGGTTTTTGGTTTGGCCCCATTCAGGAAACAGGCAAAAAACAATCTCCCTGTTCTGTTTGGAAAGCAAATGTAAAAGTTTTCACATTGATTAGTAGCTGAGTGTGTACCGCTATAATCGCGGGGGATATTTTTGTAGATGTATATATATATATGTATATGTGTGTGTGTGTGTGTGTATATACTTCCTTATTGTAAACCCAAGCAGTTTTGTTCACCATATCATTATTTGTATATTGTGACTTAAAAACGCAACACAGCCAGTAGAAATGAAAACAAACTATTGAAGTTGAAGAGCAAATGGATTTTCCTGACTAAAGGGTAAATGTTAAGAGCTGAAGCTGTTAATATTCACAGGACATGCATTTAGACAACACTAAGAGGTATTATTTTGGAGGCAAAACAAACAGACAAGACAAGGTTTCCAAAAATTTAACCCTCTCCACCCCATAAGATAGAAAAAATTTCTACCACTTTCTCTTTTTTCCCTACTACTTTCTTGAATGCCTCCTGGAAATTTGAAATATATTGCTATGGGTTGAATTGTGTCCCTTCAAAAAGATATGCTGAAGCCCTAACCTCCGGTATGCCAGAAAGTGACCTTATTTGGACATAGGATTTTTACAGAAGTGACCAAGTTAAAATGAAGTTATTAGAGTGGCGTCCTATAAAAAGGGGCAATTTGGATACAGAGACAGAGGCCCACAGGGAGAATGCCCTGTGAAGACCAGAGTTATGCTGCTACAAGCCACGGAACTACCAGAAGCTGGAGGGAGGCCCACGATCCCCCAGCGCCTTCAGCGGGAACAGGGCCCTGCCAACACACTGATTTGGGATTT